ACTCCAGACGGCCCCAGGAGGCCCCGAGGAGCCTAAACAGCCCCGAAAGCCCCCGAGAAGCCCAAACGAAGCCCCACAAGGCCCATCAGAGACTCCCCGAAGCAACCTCCAAACAACAGCCCAAGCGCCTAGCGAGGCCCACCATGAGACCCCAACGAACATCCATAAGGCCTCTGGCCCTAATCCACGCACGGCGGCGGGATGGACCAACGGCCACCGGGTAGCCCACCAGCCCTGAAACCGCAAATGGCTTAGAGCGTTTCCTCTCCCAGCCCCCCCCCCCCTAAGAGAGAGACCGACCCGCCCCCCCCCCTTTTCTACCACCGCCCCTGAACCTCGACGAATTCCGAGGAGTCGCGCTGGAGCGTCTCACGCGGCACACGACGGCACCGAGAGAGCCTCGAAGACCTCAGGATGACCTCCAATATGGCTGGAGATAGCCTAGGACGCCTCGAAATGGTTCCGAAGACGCGCCCTGAGAGCCCGAAACCGCCCCAAGACGGCCCCCAGACACCAACCAGCTTCCCGAGGACAACTCCTAAGGCGGAAACCTTTCAAAATCTTAAAGAAACCTCCTGATGCGCCTCTCTTGCCTAGTCGCCCCCGATGGCCATCCGAGGCCGCGCGAGACCCAACAGAGCCTCACCTGCGACCCCCCCTCCCAAGGGATATCTGACTTCACCGACGCTGCCCACGCTGTCTCATAATGAGATGCTCTTCTTCTCGTCTCCCGTCAGCCACCATGGGCATCGTGTCCGGACGGGGTGTCAGAAAACAACAAGCGTTGGGACCCCCCCCCCCTCCGCCCATGCAAGCCTTAGCGCCCACCCCCGCCAGGATGAGGCGGATCTCCTTGCCGCCGTCGGCGGAATCGTACTCCGACTCCAAGGGCTCTCTCGTCACCTAGGCAACCGCGCCCAACGCCCGCCAATATATATATATGTATATAAATAATAATCAAAACAAAAAAAAAAAAAAAAAAAAAAAAAAAAAAAAAAAAAAAAAAAAAAAAAAAAAAAAAAAAAAAAAAAAAAAAAAAAAAAAAAAAAAACAACCACACACACCAACACCATCACACACACACACACACACACCACCACACACACACACACACACACACACACACACACACACACACACACACACACACACACACACACACACACACACACACACACACACACACACACACACACACGCACACACACACACACACACGCACACATACACACACACACACACAATTGCACACGCCATTTCTTCCCACGAAACAAGGACGCAGACGCACGCCATACATAACCATACGGCAGACCCAGCCGCGAACCAGAGATATTCACGCAAAGCGAACTGGAACACGATCATTACACAGACAACGACATCTTACATTCACACAAGCACGTAATCAAAGAACCACAATACGAGAGACATGCAGTACATTCGCTCAGAACCGACTGGGACAACACAAGCGACGCATGCACGTCATCACCGCAGACATCACTGGAACGACAACGGACACACCAACACACCAGCAGCAGCACAAGCAAACATACCTACAGCACAAACAGCAACGACCACAACGGCAACCACGAGAGCACGGCGCCAACGCCGCCGAACGCCCAAGCAAGCAACTCAACACGCGCTGAGATCTCCAGAAACTGATAAACCGTGTTTCTAACTCGCGCATTCCGCGGCCCCTAGGAGCCCCGCCGCAACCCAGCCGCAGCCCTGCCACACAGGGACACGGCTACCGGAATTCCTGGAGGCGGACTTGGGCGCCATCCAGATCGCAACAGGGGCGGCCCATGGGGCCTCAAGACGTCTCCAAGAGCTGCCCAGGGCGACCAAGATGACCCCAACGCAGCCCTAGAGGCCCCAAAATACCACTCCTAAAGTACCCCTAAGAGATCCTTCAGAATGAAAATAAATAGTGGTATCTACGCTTGTCAAGGGTTGCGCCTTTTCGCGTTCCACAGCTTCTGACGCCCGCCAATGGCCCCAGAGGCCCTCAGGACCGCCACGAGACCGGCCCGAAGGCCCCCCCAGAAAAGCCCCAGCCGGGCCCAAGAAAGCCTCACAAAAGCAGAAGAGCCGACAACGATCACCCAAAAGAGCCTCAAGACAACATTCAGAGAGGCCCACAAAAAGAAACACCAATCTGAAAACTCCAGCACTCCAACAGCAGAGCCACCCCCAAAAGACCACCAGACCCCGCCCACATGACACCCCGCAAGAGAACCCCTCCTGAGAAAGCCCCAGAGGCCCCTTGTCGAAGCCCCACGAAGATTTTTTTTTTTTTTAAAACCAAAAAAAAAAACATTTTTTTTTTAAAAAAAAAAAAAAATAAAATAAAAAAAAAAAAAAATAAGAAAAAAAAAAAAAAAAAAAAAAAACAAAAAAAAAAAACCCCCCCCCTCCCCCCAAAAAAAAAAAAAAAAAAAAAAAAAAACGAAAAGAGGCCCGGAGAGACGCCCAAACAACCTCAAGAAAAGCCCCGGTGCCAACCCTACTCCCGCACCCCTCACCCCCCCAAGGCGATAGACACTCCCTTCACAAACATCTGGATCAAACCAGCGAAACCTACCACGAACTACAACGCCAACCAATGCCGGGCCCAAGCCCCCCCCCATCTCGACACCAACTGCTCTCCTCCAGTTCCCCTGCACCCCAGCTAAGGCGGCCGCCCGCAATCGCACACTCACGTTCTTCGCCTCCGCACATTTGATCTGGTCGAGGGTGACCAAAGAGGCGACCCTGCGGCTGCTCATGGCCGCGGCGCCCTCGCAGCGCACGAAGAACAACAACGGGAACGCAGAGAGAGGAAGCAAGTCGCGAAGAAAAACCATACGACACAGCAGAATCCAGCGGAGATAAGCATAGCCAACTGGAAAGAAAGAGAGAAACGAAGGAGAGAAAGACCAGCAAAAGCAGACGAGCAGGAATAATAATAGAGGGAATATAAGGAACCGGAAGCAAATAACAATAAGCAGAAAGAGAAAAGATGAAGCAGGAACGGTGGGAGTATATAGGAGAGAATACACCAAAGCAAGAGTAGTATAACGATATAGATATGACAGGAGGAGGAGGTAGCAAGTTGAAGCCGATAAAAAGATACCGATATGAGCATAAAAAGCAGAAGAGGACAAGAAGAGCAATACAAGATAGGATCATGCATTAAAAATTGGTAACAGACCGGCTCAGATAGGAAGGCGTCAAAGACACTGGAAGAAGAGAAATGAAGAGGAGGAGGAGGACCAGTGGGAAGGCGAGGAAGAAAAACAGATATCATCGACCTTCCTCTTCCAACCTCTCCTCATACTCCACATCCCCCCACCATAATACCCCTTTTTTCTCCTCCTTATTATGCTGATCACCCGCCAAATCTTCTTCTACTACCTCCGATGTCCTCGCTACTCCTCCCTCCTCCCCTCACCTCCTCCCATTCCGCCTCACCATTACCATCATGAGCACCCCCCCCCATTTGTTCCCCTTCCCCTCGCCCACCCCCCACCCACCCACCCCAGCTTCCCTACGCCCCTCCATCTCCTCACACCTACCCGCAACTCCTCCTACCCCCGCCTGCCTGCTCCAGGCTCGTCGTGTGCTCCTCGCCACGCCATCCCCAACCCTCCACGCCCACCTTTTAATCCTACGCATCATGCAGCTCACCGCCCCGACTGCAACACACGCGACAAGACACCTACCCGCCCAAGGACATCCAGACCATGCGAAGCACACCGCACTCCAAATTGCCTGCTCATCCCCACGGAACACATTCACTCGAACTGCGTCCAACCGTTGGACCGAGGTGAACCTTCCGAGGCCAGAGCTGCGAGCCAGACAGTGGAAGTAAGCAGCACGAATTAGAAAAAAAGAATTATCCTGGCGAAAGACCCAACCATAAGCAATTGTTGGTAACGCGTTGTGGGTGCCGCTTTCGGTGGGGCTCCATATGGGGCCACGAAGCGCTGCCTTGGATGGGGGAACCGCATGCGGACTGCGCCACCGGGGCGGGCCTTCGGTGGAGCTCCCTATGGGGCTACGAAACGCTGCCCTGGGTGGGGGAACCGCATGCGAACTGCGCCACTGGGGCCTTCGGTGGAGCTCCCTATGGTGCCACGAAACGCTGCCCTGGGTGGGGGAAGCGCATGCGAACTGCGCCACGGGGGCTTTCGGTGGAGCTCCCCATGGGGCCACGAAGCGCTGCCCTGGGTGGGGGAACCGCATGCGAGAGCAGACACTGGGGCCTCCGGTGGAGCTCCCTATGGGGCCACGAAACGCTGCCCTGGGTGGGGGAACCGCATGCGAGAGCAGCCACTGGGGCCTTCGGTGGAGCTCCCTATGGGGCCACGAAGCGCTGCCCTGGGTGGGGGAACCGTATGCGAACACCCCCACTGGGGCCTTCGGTGGAGCTCCCTATGGTCAAAGGCCAGCAACATATGTACACGTACGCGGTTAGCTTCCCCTGGAGGGCGTTTGGACGAGGACGTTCGTGCATTCAAGATCGCGGAGGGCGTACATGTACATATGTCGTTGCTCGCTCATATGGGGCCACGAAGCGCTGCCCTGGGTGGGGGAACCGCATGCGAACACCCCCACTGGGGCCTTCGGTGGAGCTCCCTATGGGGCTACGAAACGCTGCCCTGGGTGGGGGAACCGCATGCGAACACCCCCACTGGGGCCTTCGGTGGAGCTCCCTATGGGGCCACGAAACGCTGCCCTGGGTGGGGGAACCGCATGCGAACACCCCCACTGGGGCCTTCGGTGGAGCTCCCTATGGGGCTACGAAACGCTGCCCTGGGTGGGGGAACCGCATGCGAACACCCCCACTGGGGCCTTCGGTGGAGCTCCCTATGGGGCAACGAAACGCTGCCCTGGGTGGGGGAACCGCATGCGAACACCCCCACTGGGGCCTTCGGTGGAGCTCCCTATGGGGCCACGAAACGCTGCCCTGGGTGGGGGAACCGCATGCGAACACCCCCACTGGGGCCTTCGGTGGAGCTCCCTATGGGGCTACGAACGCTGCCCTGGGTGGGGGAACCGCATGCGAACACCCCCACTGGGGCCTTCGGTGGAGCTCCCTATGGGGCCACGAAACGCTGCCCTGGGTGGGGGAACCGCATGCGAACACCCCCACTGGGGCCTTCGGTGGAGCTCCCTATGGGGCTACGAAACGCTGCCCTGGGTGGGGGAACCGCATGCGAACACCCCCACTGGGGCCTTCGGTGGAGCTCCCTATGGGGCCACGAAGCGCTGCCCTGGGTGGGGGAACCGCATGCGAACACCCCCACTGGGGCCTTCGGTGGAGCTCCCTATTGGGCCACGAAACGCTGCCTGGGTGGGGGAACGCATGCGACACCCCCACTGGGGCCTTCGGTGGAGCTCCCTATGGGGCTACGAAGCGCTGCCCTGGGTGGGGAACCGCATTGCGAACACCCCCGCTGGGGCCTCCGGTGGAGCTCCCTATGGGGCCACGAAACGCTGCCGAACCGCACGCTGGGGCCTTCGGTGGAGCTCCTATGCGAAACGCTGGGTGGGGAACCGCATGCGAACACCCCCACTGGGGCCTTCGGTGGAGCTCCCCTGGGCTACGAACGCTGCCCTGGGTGGGGGAAACCGCATGCGAAAACCCCCATGGGCCTCGGTGGAAGCCCTATGGGGCTACGAAACGCTGCCCTGGGTGGGGGAACCGCATGCGAACACCCCCACTGGGGCCTTCGGTGGAGCTCCCTATGGGGCTACGAAACGCTGCCCTGGGTGGGGAAACCGCATGCGAACACCCCCACTGGGGCCTTCGGTGGAGCTCCCTATGGGGCCACGAAACGCTGCCCTGGGTGGGGGGAACCGCATGCGAACACCCCCACTGGGGCCTTCGGTGGAGCTCCCTATGGGGCCACGAAACGCTGCCCTGGGTGGGGGAACCGCATGCGAACACCCCCACTGGGGCCTTCGGTGGAGCTCCCTATGGGGCCACGAAACGCTGCCCTGGGTGGGGAACCGCATGCGAACACCCCCACTGGGGCCTTCGGTGGAGCTCCCTATGGAGCCACGAAGCGCTGTAATGGGTGGGTGAAACGCAGAGAGGAGGGAGGAGAGGGAGGAGGAGGGAGGAGGAGGGGGAGGAGGAGGAGGAGGAGAGGACGCGGGCACCGTCTCTTCAAAACGAGGACCCAACACCACAGGATGGTTGGGAAAAAATGACACGACGAGGCAGAAGGAAAGTGCACCCTGTATGTTGACTTAAGAGGAGAGATGAAAAGATACGCCGAAGGTAGGACGAGACTCCAGAAGATCGACGAGGTTAGAGCGGCGATAAAACACACGAAGATAGATCGGGAAAGAGTACGATCTAAGAGGACGTCGGACGAAGCAGAAGAAAAAACAGAAAATGAGAGATGGCGGGCACAGGAGGTAGGAAGGAGTAGGAAGATGTGACACACAATCATCAAAGGCAGGAAGAGGAGGTACAAAGGAGTAGAAAGATGTGCACTCATCATCCAAATCAAAACATTCATCATCATCATCATCATCACCCTAGCCTTACCCTGCTACTCCCCCGACCCCCCACCCCCACGCCGGCAGCAGGAGGTAGGAGGAGACCGGGAAAGGTAGAAGGAGGCAAGAGAAAACTGATGCAGGGAGGAGATGTAAAACGCCATGGGGTGATACCGATTCAGTAGAACGAAGTAGAAGGAGGAAGGCAGAAGCAGAAAGAACCAGGCAGACAGACGAGACGACAGGAACAGTAGGAAAATAATGGGATAGGAAAACGTGCCATCGTCATCAGAATCATAACCATTCTCGTCATCATCATCGCCTTCATCCTCGTCACCATCCTCATCCCCATCCTCATCCTCATCATCATCCTCACCTTCCTGCTTCTCCCCAGACGCAGACTGCAGAACATAGCAAAAGACAGAAGGGGGCACAAGGAGGCAGGAGGATATAGAAAGAGGTACAAGGGATCACCATCAGCACCTCCTCCTCGTCCTTTTCCCCCTTGTCCTCCCCCCAGCATCATCGGCATCATCAATATCCGGGACAGCGGCATCATCATCATAATCTCCTCCTCCTCCTCCTCCTCCTACTCCTCCTCCTGCTCCTGCTCCTGAACCCGCTGCTGCTCCTGTTCATGCTCCGCCTTATCCTGCTCGTCCTCCTCCTCCCCCTCCTCCTCCGCCTTCCCAATCTCCTTCTCCTGTCCCTTTTCCTCCGTATCCTCCCCACCCTCTTCTTTCTCCTCCTCGCCCCCCTTTTCCTCCTCCTCCTCCTCCTCCTCTTCCTCCCCCCCCCTCCTCCCCCCACCCCCTCCTACCCCTCCTTCTCCTCCTTCTCCTGGCCTCCTTATCCTCATCATTATTCCACTCCTCGGCCGCCTCTCGCCGTCTGCCAAGATCGTCCGCGTTGTCCCAACCGCCGCCATCTTCACCCCACCATCACATCCAACCCCCTGCACGCAAGGACAGCGCCGAGCAACCAAAGAAAGGCCCCCCCACCTCGCCCCGCGCGAGAGCACAGTCCACACCCTTTCCAGCGCGAGTGCCCACCCCCGCGCGAGCGCGCGAACCTGCTTGCTCGAGCCCGAGTGCCCGGCGAACCAATGATGCCCGCAGCAGCAACATCATCAGCATCGTCATCAGCATCACCACTTCGACCATCCTTCTGCACGAGACACATTGACAACGACAGGCCGGAGCAGAAAAAAAAAACATACAAACCAAAAAATGAAACGGCATGGCTGACACCCGCGCCAGAGCCCTGAGCACGTAGTAGAGTGCCCCACGGTTCATACAACAGTGAGGGTGTAATCAGGAATGCCTGGGCCCCTCTGGGCGCTCCTGTGGTGCGCTGCGTGAGCCTCCCGGACCCCCAAAAAATGTTTCGCGAACAGATGCTCGAGTGTGCCGGCCAGCTCCGCGGCACCTTTCCAGATCAAGACAAACTCAAGTGGGCGCCCAAAGGTCAATCGTAGGCCTCGCAGAGACACCCGGGAAATCCGCAGGGCACGGCGACGGGACTGGCGGGAGGCCACCAGGCAACTTGGACTAGGCGACGGCGCACCCGAAACGACGACGGGCCGGTCATGCAGTCAAAATGCTTCTAACCAGACACACGAGAACGCAGGGAGGCACGGTAGTCGTACTGCCCCGCTACTTGACCATATCACATTGCTCGAAACGCCTTGTCAAGACAAGATTGACGCGGAGATGGGAGGAGTTGAAGCAGGAGAACAAGCAGGAGGTTAAGGCGAGAAAGGTAAGGAGGCATACCTGCTCGCTCGCCTCTTTTGTTTGTGCCTCGATTCCGCCCACCGGGGTGCGACGAATGGCAAATCCCACCAGCCCTTTGGGCGTGAGTGGTTTAGAAAGCCCGCTCTGTTCTCAACCCCCCTTCTTCCCCTTCGGGGAAGGGTTTACCCCTCCCCCTACACCCCCCCCCCTGGGCCTGGAGAGGTCCCTCCGCGGGTCGCCGGGGGGGTCTTTTTCGACTCCTGGGAGGGCTAAAAAACGACACCACTCACGAGGATTCTGGCCCCGACGGGGGGGTCAGAAAAAATGCTCCCCTCTTCTTTGAAGCCAAAATCGTTGATGTTACTACGGTTTTGGCCCCATTTTGGCCTTCTGAGGGGGCAGCGCTAATTAAAGCCCCCCTCTTCTTTCAAGCCAGAATCATTGATTTTACGAAGGTTTTGGCCCCATTTTGCCCTTCTGACGGGCCAGCGCTAATTAAAGCTCCCTTCTTCTTTGATCGATTTCCTCCAAGATGGCCCCAAGAAGCGCCCAGGAGGCACCAAGAGGCCCCAAGATGGCCCCAAGAGGCCCCCAGGAGGCCCCCGAGAGGATCCCAAACGGCCCAAAGAGGCCCCCCCGAGGCACCCAAGACGCCGAAAAGCCCATCAGGACGACCCTCTACTCGCCTGGGCGTCGTTTCTGGACGGGCAGGAGGAGGGGACCGAATGACTCACACCAGGACGAGGAGCCCGAACAACTCACACCACGAGAAGCCCGAACGACTCACACCAGGACGAAGGGCCCGAACGACTCACACCACGAAGAGCCCGAACGACTCACACCAGGAAGAAGGGCCCGAACGACTCACACCGGGACGAGAAGCCCGAACGATTCAAACCACGAGGAGCGCTTTCTCTCCCTCCTCCTCCGCCTCGTCCTTTTCCCGCTCCCACCACAAGGAGGATGTACAAGGAGGCGGGAGGAAGGAGGAACAGGGGAGATATGCGGGGGCAGGCGGAAACACGCCTGAAAAACACGAGTCTCGGCATGCTTCGCTAGAGTTGCTGTTTTGAGATGGGCTGGTGGGGATACGCGAAGCGTGAAGAATTTTCTACGTAAGCGGCGAGGCGGCGAAATCCGCACCAGTGTAACAGCTAGGTAGGGGCACTAGCTAGCGAATTGCCCGGCGTGCAAGGAGGGACGGGGGAGGCCGACGAGAGGAAGGAGGGACGCTCACACGCAGAAGAATTCGACGATGAGCAGCCGGCGGGCGGCAGCAGCCAGGCGCGCCGGGCCAGAGCGCGGCGGGCGACCGGCAAGGTCGGCGTGGAATGGCAGCCAGCCAGGGGCTGCGGCACAGGAGACACCGCGCGCGTCGCACCGCGGCGTCCCGAGGAGAACGCGCAGCACTGAGCCGCACGGGGGGGGAGCAGCGAAAAGCGAGCAGCGAAAGGGAAACTGCAACGTGACCACCTGTGGCCAGGTGGCCGGAGGGCGGGGTAGGGCGGGAGGCAAGAGAGCGTCACAGGCGCCCGCGGGCTGCAGGCACCAGCGACGTGGAAGAGGCGAGGGGCACCCGGAAGCGGCGACGCGACTGGACCACCCAGCAGAGGGGACAGTGGCCGCTCAGGGCAGCCAGGGGGCAACTGGAAGGCGTTTCTTTACGTTCGGCGATGACGGGCGTCATGGGGGGGGGGCGGGCGGGGGGGGGTATGACGTGACGCCCCCCCCCCCCCGTGTGGCTCCGGCACCACAACCGCGCCCGCGCGCACGACGCGACGAGCGACGAGCGACGAGCGACGACGACGACGCGAGCAGCATGTATGTGACGATCTGCCCATTGCGCCTGTGTACACCACAGCGCTCGCGTACACCACACCGCGCGTGTGCACCACAACGCCTGCGTACACCGCAACAGTCGTGTGCAACGCACCGCCCGTGTATACCACAATACTTGGGAACACTGCAGCGCCGGTGTACATACACCGCAACAGCCATGTGCAACACAACGCCTGTGTACATCACAGTGCTTGCGTGCACCGCAGCGCCTGTGCACGCCACAGCGCCTGTCTACACCACAACATCCGGTGCAACGCAGCGCTGGTGTACACCACAACGCCTGCGTGCATAGAACGGGTAAAAAGAGCATGTACGTCAGGATCTGATGCGGACAACTAAACGCCACGCCAGGAAAGTTCTGATAATCGAATGCGACGTTTTTCCTTCCTCCCTCCTCCTCCACCTCCTCCTCCTCCTCCGCGTCCTCCTTTTCCTCCTTTTTACCCCCTGTCGCGCGGCTTGGCGTTGCAACGCACGTGCGCATCTCAGCGTGCACCGCAGAATGGTCGATCGAATCGGTCCACTTGGTTCTCGGACGGCCAGTTTAGCTGGAGCCTCCTGGACGCAAATGGGAGTTAGGGTGATGCGGGCGGACTCGGGGGGACTCGTAGATTCATTCCACCGGCGCTCCTTTGTCCATGAGGATTTGTTTTCCATTGTTTTCTCTGGAATCCACACGCGCTCCATTTTGTCACAAAGATTCCTTCTGAAATTCTATACACAACAATGGTGCTGTGTTGCACACGGCTGATGTGGTACACACAGGCGCCGTGGCGTACACACGCACTGCAATGCACGCAAGCATTGTGGTGTACACTGGTACTGTGTTGCGCACGGCTGACGTGGTGTACGGAGGCGCTGTGGTGTACACAGGAGCTGCTGTGCCCGCACGCACGGTGGCACAAACTGACGCTGTGTTGCACACGGTTGCTGTGGTGTACACCGGCGGTGTGGTGTACACAGGCGCTGTGGTGCACGCGGGCACTGTGATGTACACAGGCGTTGTGTTGTATATCGCCACCTACATGTTCGTGCTACCCGTCCTCCGTCATTCCTCACAATTCCCAAACGCCGCCGGCGCGAAACGTGACGTCATCGACCCTTCCCCCCAGATGATTGCCGTCATCGGCCCAGACTTTAAAACAGGCTCCAGCCGCGTCCGCGCGCACGGCGACGGTGAGCGACGAGCGACGAACCACGAGCGACGACGACGAACGACGACGACGACGACGACGACGACGACGACGACGACGACGACGACGACGACGACGACGACGCCTGCGGACCAGACACCTATGCGGATTCCTACGCGGACACCTACGCGGATCCCAATGCGCACGGCGGCAATGCCCGGAGCGCACTGGGGGGGGGGGAGCGTTACGTCATAGGGGGGGGGGGAGCGGGGGCCATGACGCCCGTCATGCCCCAAGCAATAAAGACTCCTGGGCAGAGAGGGAGGTGCAGGAGGGGCGGGCACAGCGTCCCGGTAGCCCGCAAGAGCGGGGCGGAACAGCACCGCAACAAGAACAGACGGCGTGGACCCGCCGCAGAAAAGGGGGCACCGACGGGCGCGGAAGCCGGGGCCAAGCAGGGCGGCACACGCGCGGGCGAACGCGGCGTGCCGGGGGAGCACCGAAATTGCACACGGGACGGGCAACGGGCGACGCGCCCCCCACCCCGGAGGTGCGACGCGAGGAGCGGGGGCGGGGGAGGCACCGAAGCGGCGCAGGGACCGCATGCGCGCGACGCTCCTCCCACATGGGAGGTACGTCGCAAGGAGGAGAGGAGGGGAGGGAGGAGGGCCATGAACAGGCGACGCGCCTCCCACCCCGGGAACTGCGACGCGCGAAGCGGGGGCCTGGGAGCCACCGAGGAGGCGCAGGGGCAGCATGCGCGCGACGCGCCTCCCACCTGGGAGAGGTACGTCGCAAGGAGGCGAGGAGGGAGGAGGGCCACGCCCGGAGGGCCGCGGTGAGCGCGGGCAGCACGCCCCGGCCCGGCCGGGGCGCCGGGGGCCGCCAGGCCAGGGGGTGCTGCAGCTCCAGCGGCGCCGGCGGCGCAGGCTGCGGCCGCGCGCCGCTGCCGCCGCCGCCGCCGCGCCGCACGCGACACCCCTGGGGAGGCGGAGGAGGAGGAGGAGGAGGAGGAGGAGGAGGAGGAGGAGGAGGAGGAGGAGGAGGAGGAGGAGGAGGAGGAGGGGGAGGAGGAGGAGGAGGAGGAGGAGGAGGAGGAGAGAGGAGGGAGGAGGAGGAGGAGGAAAAGGAGGAGGAGGAGGAGGAGGAGGAGGAGGAGGAGGAGGAGGAGGAGGACGAGGAGGCGGCGGAGGGCCTGGAGGGAGGAGCGAGGCTCCCTCCCGGCCCTCGCCGGCGGCAGGGCCCGAGGCCAGGGGCAGGCCCCTGCCGCGAAAAAGCCTGCTTGGTTCCCTGGAGCCAGAGCGGCTTGAGCCAGAGGGGCTACAGACACAATACACAAACAAACAAACAAACAAACAAACAAACAAACAAACAAACCAAACAAACAAACACACCAAACCAAACCAAACCAAACCAAACCAACAGAAAAGGACAACAAACCAATAAACAAACAAACAAACAAACAAACAAACAAACAATCAAACAAACAAGCAAGCAAGCAAACAAGCAAGCAGACAAAAAAAACAATCCATCAATCAATGTATCAATCAATCAATCAATCAAACAATAAACGAATTAACAAACAAACAAGCAAGCAAGCAAACAAACAAACAGCGCTCAGAAGACTGCGAAGTGCCGCCAGCGAGCCCTTCGAGGACCTCGGGCGAGACGGCGGCCGGCTCTTCGCGTCGCCCGCGCCCACGCGCAGCGCGTCCCAGGCTCTCGAGGCAGGGCCCGGCGCGGTGCGCGGTGCATCACGCGCCCAGGAGCTCTGAGAGGACCTCGTGCAGGACGGTGGCGGGGTCCTCGCCCGCGCCCGCGAGCAGACGCTCGCGCGCCTCCGCGCCCACGCGCATTGCCGCCTGCCGCTGGCCCACCAGCAGCGGGTCGTCGAGGTAGAGCTCGAAGCGGTGAGGGGTGCGGACGTGTAGAGGACCGCGAAACGACATAAACATTCGGGCGTGGACTCACCCTGCTCAGCGCAACCCTGGCTCAGCCACTTCAGCAAAGCAAAGGCGCTGCACTCTGCTTGGGTGGGGTGGGAACTTCCCGAACCCGGCTCGGCCAATGTGTAAGGCCACATCCAGGGCCGCGAGCGGCTCTCTGGCCCGGCTCAGCCAAAACCTGGCTCTGCATCGGGGAGACGTGGGCCCCGGGTTCGGGAGACTCGGGTTGGCCTGACGGGGCCATCGTGAAAACGACAAGACCCAGCCTGACATTTGACGCGAGCTCCCGCTGCACGCATCCCACGAAAACTGGACCGTCAAAATCCAGGACGCGCTCGTCAGAAAGCGTCGGCAGAGTCGAGTTCCGGCGTGCTCGAGCCTCGCGCTTCCCCGACCGCAGGATCCTGCAAGCTCTGGCGGCTGAGCCGAGCCCCGCCCCCTGCCAGCCGAGGCATCGGCTGTCGCAGGCCCGCACGGGCGTCCCCCTGTGTGGCCCCACCTGCCCGCCCCCCCAGGCGACGCGAGGGGTGCTCGGGAGGCCGCGGGCGCCTCCCTGGGAGTCATGGTTGCACCTTTCAGGCGCGGCCTGACCGATTCCTAGCAAACCATCGCCTTCCGTGACGTCACCCTCGCCTCTCAAGCTCCCCTCCGGCCGCAGACAGAAGTCTGGGGACGAGGCGAGGGTAACGTCACGGAGGGCGTGGTTTGCGAGGGGTCGGCTAGGCCGCCTCTGAACCTTGCGCCAGGGGGCACTCTTAGCAGCGCCAGCGGGAGAGATCCACGCGGGCCTCCTCCTCCTCCTCCTCCTCCTCCTCCTCCTCCTCCTCCTCCTCCTCCTCCTCCTCCTCCTCCTCCTCCTCCTCCTCCTCCTCCTCCTCCTCCTCCTCCTCCTCCTCCTCCTCCTCCTCCTGCCCGGAACACCCCAAGGCTGCGGACCCAGCGCGCGGGGCCGCCCTGAGGCCCCGGAGGCCCTGGGACCCTCGGCGGCCCCCCCGTCCAGGGCACGGGGGCCCGGGTGCTCCACCATGGAGGCCCTCCGCCGAGGACGGGCATCCGGAGGGCCCCTGGGAATCCCCGAGGGGGGGGAGGAGGAGGAGGAGGAGGAGGAGGAGGAGGAGGAGGAGGAGGAGGAGGAGGAGGAGGAGGAGGAGGAGGAGGAGGAGGAGGAGGAGGAGGATGAGGAGGAGGAGGAGGAGGAGGAGGAGGAGGGAGCAGGAGGAGCAGGAGGAGGAGGAGCAGAGGAGGAGGAGGAGGAGGAGGAGGAGGAGGCCGAGGCCCCGGGCCCATGGGCCACGGCGCGACGCGGGTCGCGGGCGGGTCGCGGGGCGGCGAGAAGCAGAGCAGGAGCAAGAAGAGCGACGGTCCGCACCGCGGGGCCCCCCTGCACCGCACGCGCCCAGGAGGCCGTGTACGGCCGTTCGGCCCCCGCACTCTGATGCTCATGTCGTTTGGGGGCTCTCCAGATGTATCTCAAGGTCTGCTCGCGGCCCTCCAGGATGACGTTGGTGCCTGCGCCGCTCATCGTGTCCAGGGCCCCCTGCACGAAATTGATAACTTCCCCCTGCGTGGCCGCGGCCACCGTCGGGATGTCCTTGACCTGCTTCAGCACGGTGAGCTCGATCCACTGTCGTGCCCCCCAGCACACAATGGAATGGAATGACGCCAGGGCTGCCTGGCTGATTTTCTGTGGTTGTCAAGCAGGCCGCCCCCCTCCTGCTCGCGCAAAGTCGCGTACATCACCCGCCAGGCGCTCTCCTGGCGATCACAACGACACTGGGAGCGGCCGAGGCGCCACCCAAACGGACAAGTTCAACCCTAAGATGGCCCAGGATGCCTCCAGAACGGAGCCAGAGCCCTCCTCGAAGCTTCAGGAGAGCCGAAGCGGAACAAAACAGCCCTGAGCCCAACGAAGAGCACAAAGGGGCCTTCCAGCTCGGAGAAGCGGCTGGGGGTCCGAGCTGGATGGGCCCCGAGCGAGTCGGTCCAGGAGAGATCCGCTCAAAACCGGTGCCCAGACCTCTCCTGGGTCCAACATCGACCAGTTTTCGAGCCGCGTCCAGTCGCGGCGGCGAGGGGGCCCCCTTCGCATCCCCCTTTATGCTGGCCAGAACCAATGCTGGGCCACCTCAGCCCCCCAGCCGGCTCCAACTGTGGACGAAAAACGGAAAATAGCCAAACAGATTCGACAGCAGTCGAAAAGCCGTCCCCAGACCAATATTTGACCATCTTTGTAGGGGAACGAGCTCTATACACCGACGCTTTTTCCGACCCTGCGCTGAAATTCGCACAGGAACGCGGATCCTGGTGTATACGGGATCCTGGGTTATACATTTTTCGTTGTTTCCCTTGGAAAACAAGGGGAGAAGTATACACCACCCCGCCCCTCAAAAAAGTCCTGGGATGGAACAGAGAATCCGCCACTGGTAGCGTATATGCTCTAGTCTCCAATTTCGAACACCCCTCCTGCAGAGGGACATGCCCGACGTAGGCCCGACCCGAGGCGGCCCCCCTGCGCCCTCAGAGCGGGCCCCGAGCCCTCCCCAGCGGCCCTGGTGGGCCTGCCGAGCGGCCGCGCGTCCCGGCGCAGAGGGCGCGGCGGCGCCCGGAGGCAGCCCGAGGAGCGCCGGCGCGGCCCCGGAGAGCGGTGGCGCACGCGAGGAGCTGGCGCGAAGGGGGGGGGGCGGGCCTCCAAGCGGGCGGCGGGGCCTCCAGGAAGGCAGGGGGGCTAGAAAGGCCTCCTCCTCCTCCCTCCTCCTCCTCCTCCCTCCTCCTCCTCCTCCTCCTCCCTCCTCCCTCCTCCCTCCTCCTCCTCTTCCTCCTCCTCCTCCTCCTCCGCCTCCTCCTCCTCCTCCTCCTCCTCCTCCCCTCCTCCTCTCCTCCTCCTCCTCCCCCTCCTCCCCCTCCTCGTCGAGCGTCCTCCTCCTCGAGCCTCGAGCTTCTTGGAAGCCTCTGGGGCCTGCTCAGACGGCCCCCCTACCTTCTGAGGAAGGCCACCCACCTCCGCCCCCCTCGCACCACCCCTTCCGTGGGCGCCGCCAACCGGAGGCCCCCAGCTGCTCGCATGAAGCCGTTCAGCATGCTCCAGCACACAAACAAACAAAATACGTGATGCCACATGTCACGACCCTCTGGGCCCAGAAGAGAGCAGTTGTGGCACGTTGACAGTGCCACTTGTCACGGACGTGTGGGCATCATAAGGGGCAGCGACGCAACACACGTTCCTATCTGTTCGGGCGAGGGGAAGTGGTTCCTAACGAAAATAGCTATCGCGTGTACCGGCCTTGTGCCACTCGCCACGCTGAATACTGCGCCGGGGCACGGTGGCGGACCTTGCCGAAGGCACCTCGATATCTGACACCATGTACTTCATGCCCAGGCCGTCGATCTTCACATCAAAACCGTTGCCAAAGTCGTCGAATTCCAGCATCTCCACCAAGGAAGCCATCACGTCTGGCTCTAGAGCCTTCTCCAGGGGGACTCCGTGTTTCTCCGCGTAGGCACCTGCCAGCAGCGCGAGCGAGCGGAACAGGTTGCCGTTGCTCCACGTGGTGGCGTTCGGGAGAAGCTCTTTCAGCCTCGAGACCGTGGTGCCCTTGCCTGTGCCAGAGAGGCCCTGCAAGGTCACCACGCACCCCGTCGCGGGGGCGTCCCCGAGAAGCTGGATGATCTCGTTGGAAGAAGAGAGATTGCATAAACATGAACTGCAGGAGCTCTGCGCGGATCTCTAGGAACGGTGCTGAACCCCCCCAGGCGAGCGGAAGGGGCTCCAGCACCGATCCAAGAAATCCGCGCGGAGCTCGGGAAACTTATGCTTGTGCCGCTGTCTCTTCTTCGACTCGCTGCACTGGGCGTCCACGCCTCTGCCTTGCACCTGGATGCGCCTCACCGGCTCCACCTCCAACGCATCCGGCAGCAGGCCCCTCTCCACGGCGAGCCGCGTGCCCCGCAGCAGCTTCTCCGCGTCCTCCCGGTCGCGGCGGGCCACCTTGGCCAGCTCGCGCTCGGCCAGCTCCTGGAAGGCCCCGCCGCTGCCGAAGAAGGCCCGGATGGCGTCGTTCGTGGCCGCGCCCGGCCGCGAGAGCAGCTCCAGATCCGGCGCCGCTGCGCGGCGGCGCACGCCCGCGGCCGCGGCGGCGCCCCGCCGGCAGCCCGGCCGCCTGCCGGCCGGGCCCGGCGCGGCCGCGCGCGCCGCCCCGCGCGGCCGCCCGAGGGCGGGCAGGAGCCCGGCGCGGGGCCCGGGCGGGGCGCACCTCGGAGGGGGGGGGGGGCACAGTCGGCCCGCAGCGGCAGGGCGCGCGGCGTGAGGATGCCAGGGGCCTCGGAGGGCCACGTCGGCACCTCTCAGGCGGGGCGCGGCCAGCAGGAGCGGCCAGGGATGGGCCGAGGAGGCGAGGATGCAAGGGGCACCCTTGGGAAGGTTGCCCATCCTTGCTGTGCGGGTGGACAGTAGGAGTCGGACCCAGGGCAAGAGAGCCTCCCAGGAGGCCCTCGTCGCCACCGCTGGACTCGCCTCGAGAAGGCAGAACGCACCCAGGAGAGGTCTGGGGAGCCGAGGTACCGGTACAGTCGGACCGCTGAAGAAGGAACCCTTTTCGTTGGGGAGGGGCTCAGTGCTCCTTAATTGTTTACCGCCTGTCCTCGGCTTTCTGTGGGCAGTCGAAAATTACCTCATGGAAAAAGGTGGGCCTCGTTCCTCATCTGGGGTTCCTTATGGCAGCGTTTCGACTGTACCTTTTTTGAGTAGGGACTGACCGTCCCGGCATTCCGATAGTCCTACCACGGAATGTTCTTAGAAGCCGATGATCCCGGCAAAGCAACCTAACAGCGATGCGTAGGAGCATATTTGGAAGCATTCCCCTTAAGATTCAGATGAGAATCCAGTTGTAGAATTCTGCTGTTCTCGCAGTCGTAGTCGCATTCGCGATGACAGTCGCAGTGGCAACGGCAGTCGCAGTCACAGCCTCAGCCTCAGCCTGCCTCAGCATCAGCCTGCCTCAGCCTCAGCCTCAGCCTCAGCCTGCTCAGCCTCAGCCTGCTTCAGCCTCAGCCTCAGTCTGCCTTCAGCCTCGGCCTCAGCCTCAGCCTGCCTCAGCCTCAGCCTGCATCAGCCTCAGCCTCAGCCTCAGCCTGCCTCAGCATCAGCCTGCCTCAGCCTCAGCCTCAGCCTGACTCAGCCTCAGCCTCAGCCTGCTTCAGCCTCAGCCTCAGTCTGCCTTCAGCCTCGGCGTCAGCCTCAGGCTGCCTCAGCCTCAGCCTGCATCAGCCTCAGCCTCAGCCTCAGCCTGCCTCAGCATCAGCCTGCCTCAGCCTCAGCCTCAGCCTGCCTCTGCCTCCGCCTCAGCCTGCTTCAGCCTCAGCCTCAGTCTGCCGTCGGCCTCGGCCTCAGCCTCAGCCTGCCTCAGCCTCAGCCTGCATCAGCCTCAGCCTCAGCCTCAGCCTGCCTCAGCATCAGCCTGCCTCAGCCTCAGCCTCAGCCTGCCTCAGCCTCAGCCTCAGCTTGCTTCAGCCTCAGCCTCAGTCTGCCTTCAGCCTCGGCCTCAGCCTCAGCCTGCCTCAGCCTCAGCCTGCCTCAGCCTCAGCCTCAGCCTCAGCCTGCCTCAGCATCAGCCTGCTTCAGCCTCAGCCTCAGCCTGCCTCAGCCTCAGCCTCAGATCAGTCTGCCTTCGCCTCGCCTCAGCCTCCGCCTGCTCAGCCTACTAGCCTGCATGAGCCTCAGCCCCTCAGCTCAGCCTGCCTCAGCATCAGCCTGCCTCAGCATTCAGCCTCAGCTTGCCGCAGCCTCGCTCAGGCTGCTTCAGCCTCAACATCCGTCTGCCTTCAGCCTCGACCTCAGCCTCAGCCTGCCTCAGCCTCACCCCGCATCAGCCTCAGCCTCAGCATCAGCCTGCCTCAGCATCAGCCTGCCTCAGCCTCAGCCTCAGCCTGCCTCTGCCTCAGCCTCAGCCTGCTTCAGCCTCAGCCTCAATCTGGCTTCAGCCTCGGCCTCAGCCTCAGCCTGCCTCAGCCTCAGCCTGCATCAGCCTCAGCCTCAGCCTCAGCCTGCCTCAGCCTCAGCCTGCCAAAGCTTCAGCCTCAGCCTGCCTCAGCCTCAGCCTCAGCCTGCTTCAGCCTCAGCCTCAGTCTGCCTTCAGCCTCGGCCTCAGCCTCAGCCTGCCTCAGCCTCAGCCTGCCTCAGCCTCAGCATCAGCCTGCCTCAGCATTCAAAATGTGGCCGGGGAATGGAGTTCTGGGAACTCGAAGAACACGAAGTGGCCTACAGTTGGCTCCGGGCATTCAAAATCATGCCCAGGAATGGAGTTCTGGGAACTCGAAGACCACGAAGTGGCCTACAGTTGGCTCCGGGCATCCAAAATGTGGCCCGGGAATGGAGTTCTGGGAACTCGAAGAGCACGAAGTGGCCTACAATTGGCTCCGGGCATCCAAAATGTGGCCCGGGAATGGAGTTCTGGGAAGTCGAAGAGCACGAAGTGGCCTACAGTTGGCTCCGGGCATTCACAATGTGGCCCGGGAATGGAGTTCTGGGAGCGCCAAGAGCGATTTCGCGAGGATGTCTCAAGCGATTTGGGTGGCGGCGGCAGAGCGCCGGCAGCCTCCCCGGGTCCCGCCCAGACCCCCCTGAGGAGTCATGATGCTCTCTTTTGAGACCACTAGAAACCTATCAGCAAGAGCTGTTAGGTAAAAATGCTCTAAGAACAAAACCACTGTTCTTAGAACATGCACCCGATGCGATAAAACAGGACAGACTCCGCCAGAAATGTTCTACGAACACTTCGTGGGAACCACAAAAGGTTCCTAGAACATTGATTGGTAGGGCTATAGGCGAGCCGGGACGCTTCGCCACTGCTTGACTTCTG